GAGCTTCAATGGACTCCAGAGGATGGTAGAGGACAGGAAGGCCTGGAGGAACGTGGTCCATGTGGTCGCGATGGGTCGGACATGACTTCGAAACTAACAAGAAGAAGGAGAAAAAAAATTCAGGAAAAAATACTTCAGCCAGTTGACCAGCCCCACTTTTCTCCAAGATACAATTACAACAATTCATTTAGTGACCTTTCAAAGTTACGCCGGCCCTGAAAAAAAGGGACTTAACAAGCACTTTTCACACTTTTTACAACTGTTTCACGCTTTAACAACTGTTGCAGCAGCCTCCCCCCTGGTCACGTGATGAAAATTCAGACTCTCGGCAACTGATTCATACTTATGACGGTTGCAGTGTCCCGGGGGGGGGGGCTGTCACCCTTTTGCGACCTTCTGACAAGCCAGGTTAAGGGGAGGGAAGACAGATTCACTTAACAACCGGGTTACCAACTTAACAACTTCAGGGATTCACTGACCAACTGTGGCATGAAAGATCTTACCAATGGGACAAAACTCACTTAACAACCGTCTCACTTAACAGCAGAAATTTGGGGCTCAGTTGTGGTCAATGTCAAGGACTACTCCATTCCATTGGTCTTCCTCTAAGTTTCCAGTGGCCCAAAGATCATGCTTCATTTTTCTTGTTTTAGTGTTTGCGTTTATGTTTTGCATTTGCAGAATGAGAAGGCAGGCAAAAGAGGAATCACATTGTGGGGCAGGCTTAATTTTTTAAAAGCAAAAACAAAAAAGAAAAAAATATTGAAAAAACCCACATTCCTGCCACGCTTCCATCGAAGCCCCCCACCCCCCCAAATTCAGCACAACTTTATCTTGCAAATTAAAATTCTCAAGCTTTCTCTTTTCCAACGGTGATGAGGTCAAAGTGGTTGGGATTTTTAAATTTTTGAAGAAGTTGGGTGGTGGGAGGGAAACTGTGATTGCAACACAGCTTGGCCCAGGAATGCAGATTTTTAAAATATATATATATATTATTTTTTTAAAGTTGTGCGGTTCTTCCTACTTGCACGGCACTTTGGGTAAATGTGCATTTAGGAAAACCGCAAGATGACATTTAGAGAAAGAGAAAGAAGAAGGGAAGGGAAGAGAAAAAGAAAGCAGGAGGCTATGAATTTCCTGTTTGCAAATGTTTTTTCCCCTTTCCTGAGGTCAGAAAAGACGTCGGGAGGCGAACAAAAACAGGTTGTGCACCTTTTCGATTGCGGCTGTTGCTAGGTGAGGACGCACAACTCGATAGCACCAGGAAGTTACATTTGCTGTCTCGTAGCAATAAAGAGAATCTGAGCTGAGAAATAACGTACAAAATAGGATGTGAGTCCCAAATCCCTTGCAGGGTGAAAGGAGCAGAGATTCCATTCTCCTCCCTGCCCTTTTATTCATAATTTTGTTCAGGTTTTTTTCTTTTGCTGAAAAGAGGGTGGGGAGAAAACACCTTAATTTTTGATTGATGAGTTTTGAGAATTGGGAAGAGTAGACTATAGAAAGGCAGCTAAAATGGAACCCGTAAGAGAAAATAAAATATAAGTGTGATGACTGTCAACAAGATTGGAAATCACTTCTCTATATCTTTTTTTGTTGTTGTTGTTGTTCTTTTTCTTCTTGGTCTCTCTTTTTTTCTTTCCCCTGTCCTTTCTTTTCTGTCTTTTCTGTCTGATCTTTTTTATTACTCTGTTTTCAGTTTTCCTTCCATCTGGATTTTCCTTGCCTTGCAAAATACTTCTTTGGTAAAAAAAAATAATAATAATGAAGAGAAAGGGAGGGAGGGAGAGAGAGGGAGAGGGTGGAAGAGAGAGAGAGAGGGAAAGGGAGAGAGAGGGAGGGGGAGAGGAAGAGAGAGGGTGGAAGAGAGGGAGGGAGAGAGAGGGAAAGGAAGAGGGATAGTGGGTGGGAGAAGTGGAGAGAGGGAGGGGGAGGGAGGGAGAGAGGGAGAGAGGGTGGAAGAGAAGGGGAGGGAGATGGTGGAAGAGAGGAAGAGAGGGGGAGGGGGAGAGAGAGAGGATGGAAGGAGAGAGGGAGGGAGAAGTGGAGAGAGGGGGAGGAGGAGAGAGGGAGTGAGGGAGAGAGAGTGGAAGAGAGAGGGAAAGGGAGAGAGGGAGGAGGACAGGGAAAGAGGGTGGGAAAGGGGGGGGAGAGGGAGGGAGAAGTGGAGAGGGAGAGGGGAGAGAGGGAGGGTGGAAGAGAGGAGGAGAGGGAGGGAGGAGAGGGGGAAAGGAGAGAGAGGGTGGAAGAGAGGGGGAGAGAGTAAGGGAGGGAGGGAGACGGGAGAGGGGGAGAGAGGGAGAGAGGGAAGGGGAGAGGGGGACAGAGGATGGAAGAGAGGGGGAGAGGGAGGGAGAAGTAGAGGGGGAGAGAGAGGGAGTGAGTTAGAGAGAGAGGGTGGAAGAGAGGGAGAGAGGGAGGGGAGAGGGAGGGAGGGAGAGAGAGAGACGGAGAGAGGGAAGGGGAGAGAGAGGGTGGAAGAGGGGGAGAGGGAGGGAGAAGTGGAGAGAGAAGTGGAGGGGGAGAGAGAGGGAGTGAGGGAGAGAGAGGGTGGAAGAGTGGGAAAGAGAGAGGGAGGGAAAGGGAGAGAGAGAGAGACTGTTTTCTGTTTGATAACAGCAAAAAGGAAGCACCAAATATTATGTTTTTCCCTCTATGCCAATGACCTTGCTAACATAATTTTTTTTAAAAAAACGATTGAGTTTTGCTGCTGTTTGTAAATTGGATGTTTCAATATGTCTGCAAGCTTTTGTGTAAGTCTAGCATTGCTTTCATTTCTGTATCTTAAAAAAAAACAACAAGCTAGATTGTAAGAGAGGGACTAAAGGAAAAACGGAACTAAGATTGATGGCATAATGCCATACAAGTATCTCCAAGCAGTGGAAGGTGAATGGGGGGCCTGGGGAGATAAGACCACCTAAGAAACGATCCGGGGGTGGTGGTAGAGGACAGGAAGGCCTGGAGGAACGTTGTCCATGGGGTTGCGATGGGTCGGACACGACTTCGCGACTAACAACAACAGCAACAAAGGAACGATCAAATAAAAGACTTTATAATCTGTAACTGGAGCAAGAAATGCAGAAGAGACCCTCTCTAGTTTCTCAGGAGGTAAAGGAGGGGGAGAGAATTATATAGGTAGTCCTCAACGTACGACTACAATCGAATCCAAAATTTCTGTTGTTAAGTGAGACATTGGTTCAGTGAGTTTTGCCCCGCTTTTACAACCTTTCTTGCTTACGTTTGTTTAAGGGAATCACTGCAGTTGATAAGGTAAGTAACCCGGTTGTTAAGTGAATCTTGCTTTCCCCCATTGCTGCTCAGAAGGTCGCAGAAGGAGATCCCAAGACCTTGGGACACACGGTCACCGTCGTACACCTGAGCCGGTTGCCATGCATCTGAATTTTGATCACATCACGAAGGTGCTGCAAATGCTCGTAACGATGAAGTCCTTTTCTTTCGGTGCCGACGTAACTTTGAACTGTCACTAAATGAATTATTGTAAGAGGAGGACCACCTGTACTTGCAGATTTGCAAGATAGATGTCACCTTACAACAGGAAAACCAGGCAACAACGCAGATGGCCAGATGGTCTAATTCTACTTTATCGTAAAAGCTGCGGTGATATAATCTTGCAAATCTGAAAATACAATTCTCCCGCCGTCGCCCTTTGCAGCCTGAGCACTTAGGGGAGGGTCCCTTTTGAGCTTCGGCGGTGGACTATGCCTTCCCTTATCTAGCTGTTTCTAGGCGTTTCTTCTCTTGACTCTGTCTCTCGAGGTCTTTCCCACATCCCTTTATACGAGAGGGTTCAAAACACCCGCCTGTATAGATCAGACTTCTTTTGAACATAGCATGTTCTCCAGTGGTGGGATTCAAATAATATAACAGCCCTAATCTCTGCCCTAATGACCGGCTGGGTGGGCGTGGCCATGGTGGGCGTGGCCATGGGGTGTGACAGGCAGCACTCGGCCTCCTGCACCCCCCTTTGCGAGCAAAAATGGGCCGCGGGGGGAGAAACTCTCTGTAGCCTCCTAGGCCCAAAACGGGGCACTGGAGGGGGGCACCGTACCACCACCCCATGCCCCGTTTTGGGCCTAGGAGACCTCCCTGCACTTACCTGAGAGCCAAAATGGGGCGTGTGGGGACTCCTGAAAGGGGCGGTGGCAGGGAGGGGCAGAGCCAGCCAGCAATTTAGCTACCGGTTCGCCCGAACCGGCTGAATCCCACCACTGATAATCTCCCTTCCGCTCCCAAGTTTGTCTTCTTTCTGAACTTTCTAGATCAGTGTTTCTAGACCTCAGCAACATTCGGATGTGTGGACTCCAACTCCCCAACAAAGTTGCCGAGGTTGGACCTGTGCCTTCCTGAACATCTCCCAGTTGAGTCGTCAGCTTCGCTCTGCAAAAATCAAGTTCCAGAGGTGTCTTTAAACGGGGCAACTTTCAAACTTTGCAGACTTCAACTCCCAGAACATTAGAATAACTAGACAAGGCTTTAAGATCTAGATCTTCCCTGTTTCCCCCAAAATAAGACCTCCCCTGATAATAAGCCCAATCGGGCTTTTGAGCGCATGGCAATAAGGCCAAGCGCTTATTTCAGGGTTCAAAAAAATATAAGACAGGGTCTTATTTTCGGAGAAACACGGTATGTAAGTAACATTATATCACAGGGAGTGCCCAATCATGCTGGTTGGGGAATTCTGGGAGTTCAAGTCCACAAGTCTTAAAAGTTGCCAAGTTTGGAGAGCCCTGTTCTAGAGCAAGGGAACTAGAAAAAACGGTTCATAAATCACACGAGGTTGTGGCCGAGTGTGACGATACTACAAGCAAACAAGGCCAAATCTGGAAGTTGTGCTTCGTAATTAAGAGCTTGCAACATCTTTTCTTTTTTTCCCTTTCTAGTCTTACATTTTAGTAGCCTTTGGGTGAACACTGTGGCTGGTTCCGAGTGTAACTTACCTGTTTGGCATTTTTATTTTTTATTTTTTTTTAACTTACAAGCAGGCAGCGTTAGAGGCAGAGGACGGGGTGCGGCAGGTAACCGAGTGCCTGGCCCAAGAGGATCCTACCTGGGGGGTTATTCTGCAGGCCGCGGCATCTATAGCAGATACCACGAAGGGAAAGGAAAACAGCAAGAAAAAGGCTACGAGATGGTCCCCAATCTGGAATTGCCGGCCGTCAATCCCGTAGCAATTAAACCTGGAACAGGTGAGTTGATAGGTAACCTTTATTGTCACTTTTTACTGTGGGATATATACCATGTTTCCCCGAAAATAAGACCTTCCCAGATAATAAGCCCTCCGGTGATGGGTTTCAAATTCTTTTACTACCAGTTCTGTCGGTGTGGCTTGGTGGGCATAGCAGGGAAAGATACTCTAAAATCTCCATTCCCACCCCGCTCCGGGGGAAGGATACTGCAAAATCTCCATTCCCTCTCCAATCCAGGGGAAGGTTCCTGCAAAATCCCCATTTCCTCCCAATCAGCTGGGACTTGGGAGGCAGTGAAGAGATGGGGGCGGGGCCAGTCAAAATTTTTATTACCGATTCTCCGAACTACTCAGAATTTCCACTACCGGTTCTCCAGAACTGGTCAGAACCTGCTGAAACCCACCTCTGGTATATATATATATATATATATATATATATATCGCATACATATAAATACATATATATGTTAACCACTGTCCATCTTGAATACATATTGGAAAGAGGAAGCTTGAGTGTTCACAAGTTTGATGCTATATGCAACAAAACTGTGGCTGAATTTGGATGTTCTGCTTCAGATACCACCTCCCAGAAATGAACAAAGAAAATAGGTCATGAAAGGGACGTGTAGCGTCCAAAACAACCCTGCTGTCTTTGCTCAAGCATCGCTTATATGCCATGTCCTGAATAGAAGGGAGTGAACTGCCGATAATCTTTTCTGCCGTCCTCACCACTCTCTGCACCGTCTTCCTGTCTGAAGCAGTAAGGCTTCCAATCCCGATTGTAATGCAATATAATAGGATGCTCTCTGTAGAAAGTGGTGAGGACAGGAGAAGGAACAGTGGTGGGTTGTCCCTGGTTCGGACCGGTTCACAAGAACTGGTAGTAAAACTGGCGGGAGGCCCCACCGACCGCCCCAGATGTCATCATCAGCGATCTGCACATGATCCCGTTGCGAACCGGTAGAAAAGGTAAGTAGAACCCACCCCTGGGAAGGAAGATGTACTTTTCTCATGCGAGGCAGAAAATGCGGGCGTTGCTGTGTCCACTTCACCAGTGTCTCGCTGGGGAGCGACCAAGCCAACCTACTCGTTAGCTGCACATCCAGAAACTTGATGTTGCTTGATGAAGTATGAAATATGATTCTTAGGGTGAGAAGAAGATGATGGGAAAGGATTTAAAGAAAGTTGGTGGGCCTTCTTCTGGTTGGAGGGGTACATGCCTGTCAAGCACGAACAACCAGACCCCACACGCACAGTTTAAGCTAAATACTTTATTATGTTCTGCCTGTAATACAGGAATCTTCCCAGTCTGACAGCTACTCATGGGAATAATTAGATAAGGCTCCAAGATCCAGTAACTATTTAATACGGGATGTCCAATCATGCTGGCTGGGGAAGCCTGGGAGTTGAAGTTGCTAATGTCAGCGTCTCAGCGCTGACATAGAAAAGGGAGGAGAAGCATGAACTTTTGCCTGCTAAATCCCTTTGAAGATTCGGTCTCCTTGGAGATGAGGAGGGGGGGAACATTCCTGTGAACTGACGGGAAAAGGAATCAGGAGAGTGACTTGGAAGATAGCCAATGAGAAGCAGAGAATTGGGGATCGGAAAGGGAGGGATTGGGGGGGCAAAGGTCAGTATTGACCGTGAAGAGCCAGGATCCGGTTGCTGTACTCGAATCAAGAGAAAATTTCCTTAAAGATTGGCGGTTTGGAAGTTCATTTATTTTGAGATAGCATCGAAGGCTGACAGCTAAGTTTGGACATGCATAGTTTAATATTTTGAAGGTCGGTCACATCTTATTTCTGAAATCCATTTTGAGTCGTTTCAAAAATTGGACAAGTCATCATGGCTTCCTTCGACTTTCTAATTAGCTGACTCCCCTCAAGTGCCAGATGTCTGTCATATTTTCTGTGCGATGGTAAATTTTGCTGAGCTCCTTTCCTCTTTCTGGCTGGCAACCATGGAGAAGTGGAGAGATTTCCTTGTGGTTTGGACTCCCAATATTGCAGAAGTGAGGCCCTAAGGGCTGCACAATATCCTTCTATGAAAAAAAGTTTAACATGCTATCGTACAGGCGTGAAATCTACTTACCTTCCTTACTGGTTCAAAAGCAGACACGCATGTCATGTGCAATTTTAGAGCCTTTGCACATGCGCAGAGGGTAAAAAACAGGTTACTTCCTGGTTAAAACCAGGAAGTAACGACGTCCGGGCAGGTGGGCAGAGCTTCATGTTACCGCCGCTACCTATTCGCCCGTGACATGATAGCAGTCGTCCAATATTTGAAAGGCTGCCCCAAAGAAGAGGGGGTCCACAGCACCAGAAGGCAGGACAAAAAGCAATGGATGGAAACTAAGCAAGGAGAGAAGCAACCCAGAACTAAGGAGAAATTTCCTGACAGTTGGAACAATTAACCAGTGGAACAACTTCCAAACAATGGAAGGAGTTTTGGAGGAGATTATGCTGGAAATCAGCCAAACAAAATATGCTGGAAATCAGCCAAACAATGGAAGGAGTTTTGGAGGAGATTATGCTAGAAACTAGTCAAATACAATATGCTGGAAATCAGCCAATAATGTTGGGAGATCGGGAGGAGATAATATTGGGAATAATCTCAAAAGAGTTGATAATTTGGAGAAGAATAAGCAATATGTTTTTGTGATAAAACTATGTAATATGTGGGATATTAAACTGGAAAGTTTTAAGATATTTTGATTTGATAAAAAGGGTCAAATAATTAAGACGTTGATAAAATTGGGTTTTATAAATTTTAACAAAATGGAGTTGTATTGAAATTGAACTTGATAATTCTGGTGATAAAATTGTAAGGTATATAATTAGAATAAGAGACTAGAATATTGTTAATAACTATTTGGATATTGACGAGATATAGATACAGAGATAATGAGCTAAAATCTAATTCGAAGTTAAAACTGTATTGATATATTAGATTTGTTTAGATGAAAGTGTTAGAATTCTATGTTTAAATTTGTTTTTTTGTGTTTTTTTTCCCTCTGTTTTAAATTTTTAAAAGATGTAATGGAAAAGTGGAACAGAGCGTGTTAAAAGAATGTAAGCATGTTAACCATCTATGACAGGATTGAAACTCTGTTCTTGAAAGTTATATTTTATGTTTATGTTTGGGAAAAAATAAAAAATATTTACAAAAAACCCCCCCAAAAAACAGTGGAACAACTTCCCTCCAGAAGTTGTGGGTGCTCTAACATGGAGAAGAAATTAGACAGCCATTTATCTAATATGGTATTGGTCAGGTGTCCCCAATCCCAAGTCTGTAGACTGGCCACAGGCCACGGCGTGCCAGAAACCAGACCATGCAAACAAGGATAACCCCATCCACAGGATACAATCAGCGCACAAACTCATGCCCCCCTCCGCTCCATGGAAAAACCTCTCTCCATGGAACCGGTCAAAAAGTTGGGGGGCTGCTGGTGTTGGGTCTCGAACAGTGCTCGAATCAAGGTCCCTTCCAACTCTGTTGTTCTCTTCTGCTCTTTTCCGAGTGCACCTAGTCAGGGGTGGGCTTCAAAAATTTAAGCAACGGGTTCATTCCCCGGTTGCTGGGTGGGCGTGGCCAGGGTGGGCGTGGCCTAGTCAGCCTCCTGCACCATGTGGGGGAAGGTGTTTCGCCTTCCCCAGGCTCTGGAGGCTTTCCTCAAGCGTCTGAGGGGGGCAAAAACTGCCTCCCCTGAGCTCTGGAGGCGCTCTGGAGGCCCTCTGGTGGCTGGAAACGGGCCTGTTTTCGGACTTCTAGAACTTCAGGGAGACCCGTTTTTTCCCCTTCCCCGAGCCTCCGCACACGCCCTGCACTTACCTCACGTCCAAAATGGGCCACATGGAGACTCTTGGGAGGGGCGGGGTGGGGTGGGAGGGGCTAGCCAGGGTTTCTCCAAACCGGCCATAACGTTAGCTACGGGTTGTCCCGAACCCGGGCGAACCCGTAGCAGCCCACCTCTGCACCTAGTAGATTATTTCTTACTTTCACCAAAGAGAGGGCCCAGAATGATTGTCGCATTGCATCGACTGCAAAAGGACCTTGATTTGGTCGCTAAAGCTTGATTACAATGCATTGTGAGATGCCCTGAGTCTTCAGAGAGGGGCGGCATACAAATTGAATTAATAAATAAATAAATAAACCTTCCAAGCTATCGATTAAAAGCTGAAATGTTAACGCCAGGCCTAACTTGGCTTCTTCGATCTGTTGCAGTGGCAATTCCAACCCTTGGAACCCAATATTCCATGTTCCAAGCCACACCGGCCACCAAGGTGATTGACGATGGGAAGATCCATGCAATGGAACATATCATCAGTCCTATCAGCGTCCAGCAGGACCCAGCAAGCGCGGCGGCGGCCGCCGCAGTGGCGGCAGGCGCCGTCCTACCTGCAGTTTCCACCCCGCCTCCTTTCCAGGTATGATTTTTTTTCCCAAGACTTTCAAGCAGGTGTAGAAACATCAACCTTTTCTATTCCTGCGAGTAAGATAACACCGGCTCGTATTAAGAGAAGAGCACCTCTTGGCTTGCAAGTACAGGTCGTCCTCGACTTACGACTGCCGTGGAGCCCAACCTTTATGTCGCTAAGTGAGAAATGTGTTAAGTGAGTTTTGCCTCATTTTACGACTTTTCCTGCCACCTTTGTGAAGTGAATCGCTGCCGTTATTAAATTAGTCACACGGTGGTGAAGGGAATCTGGCTTCCCCGTTGATTTTGCTGGTCAGAAGGTCGGTAAAAAGGGGATCATGCGACCTGAGGACACTCCGACCGTCGTAAGTACAAGCCCGTTTGCCAAACGGCCGAATTTTGATCACGTGACCATGCGGATGCTGCAACGGTGTTCAAGTGTGAAAACCGGCCACGAGTCACTTTTTTCAGTGCCGTTGTAACTTCAGATGGTCACTAAATGAATCATTGTAAGACCAGGTCTACCGGTAGTAGGCAGATATTTGAATCTAGAAACTACCATTGGCGCCTTCACCGTTTTGTTATGGCCGCCATCTTGGTTTTCTGACATCATCTTCTTTTAACAACATCATAATCCCTTGCGGGGTGGAGTCTGGGCAACTGAACGGAGCTGAGTGTTTACTGGCCAGATGCCCTTCCTGTCACCGATGCAGAGTTTTGTTCAGCAGATATATTCTCATTGTCCCCAGAGAGAGAAATATCTGCTTCTACCTAGGATCGAATTTTGGTTTTCTGACAGGGGATATCTAGTTCCTTTACAGATGGTGACAGGATTAACTCTTGAACGCTCTCTCCGGCAGGGCCGTCCGATAACTCCGGTGTACGCCATGGCGCCTAGTATGCAGAGAATTCCAGCCGCGGGAATCTACGGCGCGAGCTACGTTCCATTCGCGGCTCCTGCGACTGCCACCACAATTGCCACACTACAGAAGAACGCCGCTGCTGCCGCTGCCGCAGCCGCTTATGGGGGATACGCGGGGTACATCCCCCAAGCATTTCCAGCTGCCGCTTTTCAAATCCCCATCCATGATGTCTATCAAACCTACTGAGACTTGCTGCCCGGAAGGGTGGGGTGGGCACAGCAGGTGGAAGGAGCTGAAGGAACATTTTACTATTTATGAAGAAAACCTGAAACCTACTGTAGAATTCTATGCTTGGATGTCAGTAAACTGAGGAAAAAAACCTGGAAGTGAAGTTTTTCACCGACACAGCATCATGCTTGAAATCTTTTTATACGGATGAAGTTTTTACTAACTTTGTAGGCCTTTTGTGCTTTGTTTTGTTTTTAAGAAAGGAAGAGAAAAAAAACCCCGTAATGCTGTGCTTCCCTACAGGTTTATATTCCGTTGTAGATTTTTTCTTTCTTTCTTTCTTTCTTTCCTTCTTCTTCTTCTCTTTTTTTTTTTTAGCCGTTTTATTTTCGCTGCGTTTGTGTTATGAAGGTTATTTTTTAGTTAAGTCTTGCACTCCAGAATGGCCTATTTTGTAAGGCCTTGAATAATATATCAAGTAAATATTAAAAAAACAAACAAAAAAAAAACCAGGTAGGGGGAAAATTTTTAAAACGATATATTTTGAAGACTATATTCGATATTTAAACCGTAATGCAAAATATTTTTTTTTAAAGAGATATATAGCTAGATAGATAGATAGATAGATAGATATACTTACAAATGTGTGTTTTATTTAAGAAGTGAAACTGGAAAGTGCAATTTGAAAATGATTGAGACCTCTGCATTATCAGATTTCTGTGTAATCTAGAGCCACAAGTGTCCTTGTAGAGACCTCGCATTAAATACCAGATCCTGCTAAAACGATACTTAACGTTAAGGATAATTTTTATTTTGCATTCTCTAGAGAGTCATGTTCATTTTTTATTTTATTTTATTTTTTTCATTTTCACCCTCAGTGCATAAATCATTGGTGTCTTAGGGAAAAAAAAATATCATTTTTCCTTCATTTATTTCAAAGGTCGGGAAAAAAAAACCCCACAATATGTGAACTTTGATCGTTGCAATCAAAGCAAACTAGCTGTAGGTTTCATTTTTGTTTTTCAACATGGTTACTTAACAATGGAAATAGTAGACATTTGGTCCTGTCCTATCCTGAAGCTCAGGGATTATTCAAGCCTAGAATCATAGCTTATTTAGCCATTCCTTTTCGTGAGGATCTTGGTTGAATTAAAAAACAAAAAAGTCCTGGAACTTTTCATCCATGTGAAAACAGCAATCGTTTTATCCAGCTTCTGTAGCTTAGTGAAATTTGGCAATTTTAAAATGAGTGGAATTCAACTCCCAGAATGCCCCGGCCAGCATTCTCTAGCTCTTCTGACTCTTCACTTCCTTCCTAGCTTAAAAACTGATGTACGAATGAAAGGGCTCGCCGAAAAAAATAGAATAGAACCGTCAGTTCCTAAATGTGTATTTATCCGAAGTCCGCATTTCCAGGTCAAATAGACCTTAAAGGAGACGCATCAACAGTAGCTTCTATTGGCCATCCCAAAGGTGCTTTTTCAAAAGGCAACTGGACTTTTCTTCGTTTTCCTTGAAGACATTTTGCTTCTCATGCAAGAAGCTTCTTCCGTTCAGAATGGAAGAAGCTTCTTGGATGAGGAGCCAACATCTTCAAGGAAAAAAACAACAACAACAACCATCTTTGACCTGGATGACTGAGAATCCCCACAGACATTCTAAACTATAGTTTTGAGCAAGCTAGGATCAGCCCTAATAAAGTAATGGTAGTTTGTTTAACTCGGCTTTGATTGATTCTGCTTCCACCATTTTCCAAATATCCTGCCGCTGCAGAGGCCATTTTCCCGTAGATATTTTGGAGCGTCTCTGTATGCTTTTCAGGGACATTCGGGGTTAGGTTAAAAAAAAAAATCAAGATCAAGATGAACAAGTGGCGGGATTCAGCCGGTTCGGGCAAATTCAGACTGAAATTGCTGGCTGACTCCACCCCGCCCTGCCCCTTCCAGGAATCTCCACGCGCCCCATTTTGGCTCCCAGGTAAGTGCAGTGAGGCCTCCTAGGCCCAAAATGGGGCACACGGGGGGGGGGGGGGGCAGCACCCTCCCTCCCCGTGGCCCATTTTTGCTCCCAGGGGTGTGCAGGAGGCCGAGTGCTGCCTGTCACACCCCCTGTCCACGCCCACCATGGCCGCACCCACCATGGCCACGCCCACCCAGCCGGTCATTACGGCAGAGAACCGGCTGTTAAATTATTTGAATCCCACCACTGAAAGCTCTCATTTTTACACTACCTTGAAATGTGGTTTAATCCCCTTCGTGTTCCCTAAAGCCGTGATGGCGAACCTATGGCACGTGTGCCACAGGTGGCACATGGACCCATATCGGTGGGCACATGAGCTCAGCTCTGACGCACATGTGCGGGCTGGGCAGCTGATTTTCGGGCCTTCTGGACCCACCAGAAGTAGGGAAACGGGCCATTTCCAGCCTCTGAAGGCCTCCGGGAGGATGGGAAAGGCTGTTTTTGCCCTCCCCAGGCTCCTAGGGAGGCTCTGGAGCCTGGGGAGAGCAAAAAATGGGCCCAACAGGCACACCGTGCCATCGCATGCCCAAAGCGGGGGGAGCACCGAGGGGGTGTTTCACGTGCATGCATGGGGGGAAAGGTACATATAATTATGGGTGTGGGCACACACACGTGACCCCCCCTATACTCCCCCCGCTTTTGGCACGCGATGGCAAAAAAGATTAGCCATCACTGCCCTAAAGCCTTTTCTTTGTAATGGGTGTATGTGTGTACACAATCGTGTCCCAATGGTTGGGGAATTTAAAAGGGCCGTGGGAGGAGATTCCACTGGACTTTAAGCAGAAGGCGCTTCCCAAGAAGTGTGCCCCCCACCCCCCAAAACCTTGTTGCACCCGGGAGGGCTCGGGTTGAAAGCCGAGTGTGTAAATGCCATTCATTGTGCGACCGGCTGTTTTTAAGTGGAACCTTCTAGAATCCCAACTCAGGCGTGTGGGCTGTGTGTTACAGGTAGCCCTTGAGTTACGACCATAACAGAACCTGCCCATTAGGGGATGGTCCTATGGCAAGTCAGTCACACGACGGACCTCGTTTTTGCAACCTTTTTTGTGCACTGTTGTTAAGCAAACTCTGCAATTGTTAAGCGAACCCACGGTTCCACGTTTTTGCCGGGAACTGGAAGCAAAAAGCTGGGTTTGGGGGAAACTGACATAGAACGTAGTCACGTGACTGTGGGATGCCCCAAATGGCTGAAAAAAAGGTGCATTCAGGTGACCTCTGGGGGCGTGGCCATTGGAACTTCGCACCTGGGTTGTAAATAACACCCCCCCACCCCCGGGCCAGATAGGTTCGTAGGAACTAAGAACGACCCGTCATAATTCAAGGACTACCTGCAATTCCTGTGGCGAAGTTTGGATACGATTTGTGACTGCTATTTCGGTGGACAAATTCCGGCGCCTTTAAAGATAATCCTTCACTAACCCAGAATATTAACATTTGCCAGGAGGACCTTTCCGCAATCAATTTTTTTTTAAAAAAAAAACCTGCAAAATATATTATGAAAGTGACCAACAGTTTTCCTTTACTTTTTTTTAAAAAAAGAAAAGAAAACCTTGAAAATATCTCCTGTGCCTTGAACGATTGCTTTTATCTCAAAGGACTACTTGCTCGTATTGGATTTTTATATTTCCCGAAAGAGTTAATGTGCCTTGTAAATCTCTCGGCTCAAATATTTCCTTATTTCTGCATATCACCAGCTGCCTACCTTCACACAGAGCACCGCCAGTGGTGGAAATTTCAAATAATTTTCACCCGAAATAGTTTGAGGCGAATTAAAAAAATAAGGTGACAGCTTTTCTTTCTGCCATTGAAAGCTTGGGAGGGTAGTGTATATCAAAATTAATCTTTTGATATTTATAAAAAAAACATAGGTGGGCCCTGATTTAATTGAGGAATGGAGTAAGGCTAACCAATGCCCAAACATATGAAAGATAAAGCTGTGATTTCCAGTGTCTATCCTGGTTTTATTTTTGATCTCTGGCTTGCAAAAAAGAAAGAGAGATGGTGGCAGATTATTATTATTATTTTAAGTAACGCCAAGGAAAAAAGGGTGTGCCGATTACCCAAATACCCTTAAAACAACCAGCCAAAATGCAGCTTTTAGTGTATTTTATGTCGATATCCATCTTTCCTGCAACAAACACTGGATTTCAAGCAAACACAGGGCAGGGTTTTTTTTTAAAAAAAAATGCACTTCCCCATAGGGACTCAGAACTGTGGCTGAGATGCCAGCCAAAAGACAGGGGGGGTCGATCAAACATTGATTAGCCCCCCAATCTGAGACCGAATTTTACAACAATTTCTGAACCATTTCATTGATACACTACTGAAATAGGTTATGACTTGAAATGTGAAGTTTTCTTTTTCTTAGGTTAAGAACAAATGAGAGAATATATATATATATATATTCATCTTATTTTCTAATGTGGAATTAGAGTATTTTACTGTATTTCTGTTCTTTTGTATGTGTCGTTGAGCTTTCTTTTAAAAAAATACTTTCTTAGGCTGTAGTTAAAATAAAAACATTCCTTTAAAAAAAAAGAGAGAGATATTTTTGTCTTCCCTTCTAGATATTCGTTTTACCACTGTTCAAGTAAATTAAAATGGTTTCAGCAGGGTTTATTTATTTATTTATTTGCTTTTCATTCCCACCTTTATAACGTTCGTAAGTAACTCAAGGCAGCAAAAAAAAATAGACGGTACTCCACTCTCCTCCGATTTTCCCTATAGCAACAACTCTGTGAGGTGGATTGGACTGAGAGAGAGACTGGTTGGCTCAGAGTCATTCAGTTGGCTTTCATGTCTAAGGCGGGACTAGAACTCCCCATCTCCTGGTGACTGGCCCAAAGTCACCTTGTTGGCTTTCATGCCTGAGGTGGAACTAGAACTCACCCTCTCCTGGTGATTGGCCCAAAGTCACCTAGTCAGCTTTCATGTCTGAGGCAGGACTAGAACTCACCCTCTCCTGGTGATTGGCCCAAAGTCACCTTCTCGGATTTCATGCCTGAGGTGGTACTAGAACTCACCCTCTCCTGGTGATTGGCCCAAAGTCATCTTGTTTCCTTTCATGCCTGAGGTGGAACTAGAACTCACCCTCTCCTGGTGCTTGGCCCAAAGTCACCTTCTCGGATTTCATGTCTAAGGCAGGACTAGAACTCACCCTCTCCTGGTGCTTGGCCCAAAGTCACCCAGTTGGCTTTCATGTCTGAGGCGGGACTAGAACTCATTGTCTCCTGGTGATTGGCTCAAAGTCACCTTCTCGGATTTCATGTCTAAGGCAGGACTAGAACTCACCCTCTCCTGGTGATTGGCCCAAAGTCACCCAATCAGCTTTCATGCCTGAGCTGGGACTAGAACTCCCAATCTCCTGGTGACTGGCCCAAAGTCACGTAGTCAGCTTTCATGTCTGAGGCGGGACTAGAACTCACCCTCTCCTGGTGCTAGGCCCAAAGTCACCTTCTCGGATTTCATGTCTAAGGCAGGACTAGAACTCACCCTCTCCTGGTGCTTGGCCCAAAGTCACCCAGTCCTATGATTGTATTTCTATTGTTTGAGGGGGGGGAATAAATCCCCTGGGACAAAACCAGATTCACAGTTGAACCAATCCTGGTTTGTGCTTTTGACATGACAGATCGCTGTGAGACTGTTGGCCTATTTTCTCTAAGGTTAAAAGACCAACGAAAGCCGCCGCCTGGGACATTTAAAAAGTTCTTCAGTGGGCCTTGAAACTTCTACTTCTTGGTCTGTTTTGAGCCTGCTCGCTCTTCCTT